CACCCGTCGACTGCGGATCCACCGGAAACGAGAGATCGCACGAGACGGTTCAACCGCCGACAGACAGATCGTGCTTCCTCCTCGGGCTATCGGGGCGACGCCTCCGCGGTCACCACCTCCCAGACGCGTGAGGTAGACGTGGAGCTTCTCGGCATGGACTACAAGCTGCGGCTCTTGAGGTGATCCACGGCTTGCACGACCCACTCGCTTGCCTGCGGCTGTGCCTTCTCTGTACCCCCTTCGGGCCCACCGAATTGGCTCCACTTGTGGCCAAAGCGGAACGAGACTGCAACCCACAGCGCCCGGGCCAACCTACACCGCCCGGGCGGGCTCCTATGGGGATCGTGGGTCCAGCAAGAGCCTTCTGCACCCAAACAGCTTGAGCACAAAACTACATGCAAGGTGCACCTCATCGCGTATGCTACAGACGCTGCACCACACAATTGCTGTCACACAAGGTGCGCCACATAATTAGCTTGCACCGCATGGCGCATCCAGAATGCAAAACCTAACTGGTTGGGGTGGTCCACGCCGGCACACACGTTGCCGCGATTGGACAGCCTTCGGTCCTTCAAAGACGGTGTTCCTGATGCTGCGCTGGCCACGCGTGAGGAACGGTGGCGGTGCTTCGTCGCTCAGACCTGCGCTCTCCCCCCAGCCAGCGAGGGTCACAATTGGGACGATTTCTAAATGCGGCTCCTTGTTCGTTGCTACAGTCCCCCTCCGTTGTCCTTCCTCCGCATTTCCCTCGTTCCCTTGTTCCTCCTTTCCCAGCTCATGGATATCCTTCCTCCTCATCATCTGCGTCCTGCTGCAATGTGTACAACGCCCCTTTTCGGCCGATGGCGCATCAAACGATGGGCAAACTCCCTGTAACAACCATTTCGGGATCCAGGTCCTTTGAAACACCCCGGCTGGCGGAACGACAAAGATTCAGCGCAGTGGGAACCGCTGGGCGGGAGGGATTTGATGTCGATTGCAGCGCGAGCGCACCGAGCTTACCCCTTCCCTACTCCTGCCCCCTCGCCTCTCCTTCGGTGGCAACTCATGGGAGCCTCCCATACCATCTTGTCGGCTCTTGCGGACCGACGCTAGCCGACGCTA